CAGATCTTGTGGGCTACAGCTCAACTCGTTACCTCTATCTGCCACCAGGGCTCCACTGAAAGGTCTGTAGTTTTCATTACTTAATGTGCTCAATCACCTTTAAACAGTCTACCATCTTCATAAAGGCCCGAATGAGAGAAAACCTTAAAGTTGTCATCAATCAGTATCAGAACTGGTAGAACCATGTGCTGGCAAGCTAGAAACCTGGTGCTGAAGGTGGGGAAAGCCAGGTAAATACCATCCTTTCAGGAATCCAATCTTACTGGCTTATGGATTGTTATAATATCTGTCAAGAGCCCCCAATAAAATGATTTAAGTTGAATAAAAATTTTAAAAGAATCCAATCTTGAGGTGACAAAGCTTACCTCACTCTCAGGATATAATATATTAATTTCCAGGCCCTGTTTTCCCTAGTATACTGTTGAAAAAATGTTTTAAGCAGAAGATTATTGTGATCAACAGAAACTTTTATTGCTATTTAGCACTAACAGTATTTCTTAAAAACACGTCAAACACTGCCCTCTTGTGTTGTCAAGAAAGACCTACCTTTCTGAATTTCTTGAAATTCTTTGATTGACTGTAATTGCTGTTCACAATGGCTGGATTTCTGGAGGTTGTGTTGTGAACCACCAGAGGTCTAAATTCGGTCAGGAGCATCTTCCTTGGAAGCACCTCATCACCCAGCTGACATCCATCATTGTTCTCAAATAGGGTAAAGACGGAGACAAGAAAAGGTAAATCACAAGGGAATTACAAGGGATTGAAAAAAGTTCACCCTCCTGACAACAGAAAAAAGAAAGGTTTATTACTGATTTCTGAACTTTTTACTTTGAACCAAATCATCTTTATTTCAAAACCAGGAGATTAAATAATTGCCCTAAAGCTCTGAAAAAGTTATAACAAATCCATCTCAATAAAATGGTGATAGTCATATTTTACTTTAGTAACCTTCCTAATATCACCTCAACGTACAGTTTACCTTCTTGAGTATGTATTTTTGACAAAACTTCAGCAGTGTCTGCTTTTGTCCCACTAAAAATCACCTCCAAGATCATCATACATTTTATTCTAGTTTTTCACATTTAAGTTTTATTGGATTTTCAATAGCTTATATTTATTATTTCAAATACATCAGTTAGCAATTTTAGACAAATTGCCTTTTCAAATTACAAGCCACTAATTTTATTTCAGATGATTTATATGACTACAGAAATTGCCTAAGGATTCCTTCCTGTTATCATTCAAGTGCTGGATAAGACTCTCTACTCTACTGGTCAGTTACTATGAGCTGTCTAGCCTGAACTCACATCTATATGGCTGCTCACGGCTGATGATCTTAGTTCTTCTCACTGGTAGACCACATAATCCACACAGAAGCTAGTTACTAACAGACCTACCCAAGATAAAGGCAGTCAAGGAGCAGATAAAGGGGCAAAGGTTGAAGGACTGAAAACAGTAAGGGACCAGGCTTACAGACGGGCTAGAGCCAGGTCCCTTTCTGTTTTGTCACACTTCAGAAGCTCCAACCACTTAAGATCAAAAGGGAAGCATTTATCCAAGGACAAAGTTCAGAAGGTTAGGAAAGGAGGAGGAATGGGAACAGAAATACACGCAGGAAGGTAAAAAACAACGGTACTGGGAGGGGACTGCAACAGATGACTTGAATCAAAGTGTGTACAAACTGTTGAATGTAAAACGTTTATCCGCCTTGTAAACTTTCACTTAGTTCACAATAAAAAGTTTTAAAAGTAGAAAAGGTTCGTGGGATAGTGACAGAATGTAATCAGGGTCTGTAATAGAAGAAGAACCTAGTAATTTTGAATTGTTTCCATATAGTTCACATGTTGTATTCTATGTGGTGAACACATGACTCAGTTGAAAGATATCAACCTCATTTTATAAACAGGTGACTTGCTGCTCAGAAACGCGATCTGTTCAAACCCACGACACCCAGGTCTCCCTCCATGGTTTTTACTCCATCGGGTTATGCTCTATATACAGTACTTGCTGAAAACGAGCCCATGATGACTCATAGCGAGACTCTGCCCCTCTGGGTTTTCAAGACGAACTTTCAGGAGTAGAAAGCCTCACCTTTTTCATGTAATAGTATGAGATTTTTCCAGATAAGGTAGAATTGTGAAACAGAACAAAATCCATGATAGGAAACAATCCTACCATACCATATATACTCGAGTATAAGCTGACCTGAATATCAGTCAAGGCATCTAATTTGACCACAAAAACTGCATTAAAATGTGCTGGAAAACTCGGCTTATACACGAGTATATATGGAAATGGACAAAGTGATGAGATATGGTCAAATCCTTATAAACATAAGGTAAATAGAAACCTCCTTACGGATAGCTCTTCTTTTTTTGACCTCAGTGATTCTTCCTTGATTTCACATTTCTTTCCCATTTCATTCTCTTGCTGAAGAAACGAAAAGGAAAAAAAAATTGCTCTCTGGAGTGTAAAGTGATACCTTTCAGAAATGTCAGGCATACTCATAATCGTTGGCTACTGATTTCCCTTTCAAATATTTTTCTTACAGAAATTAGCAGCAGTGAAAATAAAAACAGAGAAAGACACACACACACACACACACACACAAAAAACAGAGAAAGACACATCGCAGCATGAGTTATACCAGCCAACTGGAAGCAACCTAAGTTCATACATTTAGGAATATGTAAAGAGAAAATGAGCATAAGTAAAAAAGTGATTTCAAAATTGCACTAATAGCTGATCCCAAGTTTGCAAGGTAAGATTTTAAAATATTATCCAAATACAGTCTGGGAAATTGAAAATAAAGCCAAGACTCAGTTACAGGTCTCAGGTGCACGGAATAAACTGGTAGGAGTATCCAGCCAATAGTCTTCCAATGGCTTTTAATATTTCAGTGCAACTGAGACCATTATAGACATATTTAATTTATATTTAGATCCCAAAATAGAAAAACAGCAGTTTTGCCATCAACATGGTTTAGAGATTGTCTTTTTGAAATAAAGGGATCTAGCATTAAAGAGAAGTATTGGAAGTCACTCAAGGGCAGCAGGTATGTTTTATCATAGACAGCTTCATTCATCTTTTCCAGCCCCAGGTGGTACCTATTGCCAAGAACACAGTTCTAACAAATCCAGGTGGGCGATTAGAATATGAAAGCTTTTTCCATCTGGTCTATACTCTCACCCAATGAGCTTACCAGTCTACAGATAGCAGGTCACCCGCCCCACCCCACCCCCCCGACACACAAAAACCCACAGTGCCATTAAATGATACATAAAGCAGGAAATAATCTTAAGGATTTTCTAAAAGTGAGTAAGACAAATTACTAACATTCACAAAAGCAGAAAAAGATCTTAGAAACCAAAATTTAAAGTTCTAGTGATATCAGAAGCCCCAGTGAGGCTATGGGTTACACGTCAGCAGTTCAGAGCCATAGGCGAGGGGTGAGGCTGTCTGCTCTTAACCGACAGGGACCGCAAGCAGAAGGGGTCCAGTGGTGGTGAGGGGGTAGAAGGGCGACGGTGGCAAGGAGTTCAGGAAAAAACGAATGCTTGGAAACTGATTGTGGTAGCAACTGTACAATTCTGCTTGATGTGACTGAACTATGGAATGATATGTATTAATTCCCAATTAATAATGAACAACAAAACAAAACCAAGAGCAAGCAAACAAAAAGAATTTACAATTTTGGAAATCCACATAGGGTCGCTATGCATCAGAATCATCTTGATGGCAATCGTGGTTTTTAAAAAATATTTAATCCTCTTAATTTTAGTTAATTTTCTTCAGGTATTTTTGCTTATTTATTAAGGTATCATCTATACCTCACATCATGGCCAAATTTCTGATATAACTCTATATAGCTGTTAAATCATTACATTTTGCCTCAGTGACCAGTAAATTCTTATACTGAATGGATTTTGAAGATATTAGTTTTCTTCACATACTCATAATACATCCTCATACTAGTTATACGTAATTTAATGTACTTCTTAATACTATTTTAATTTTCATGAATCCAACATTACTTACAGATACTTTGCTACTTTCTGATATCGCTTCATCATTCAAAAGGCCATTTGATTCTACAGTCAATCTTGGTTTTTTCCTAATATTGACACCTTCATCTTGCTTTTGAACTCTCGCCTCAATTTCCAACTCTGGTTTTGTGTTTTTGAATAATTGTTCTAATACTTCATCTTCTAAGGCCAAATCATCCATTTCTTTTCTTTTGTTTGATATTAGCTTTTCTGTAGGGAGGCCTTTATTGGTGACATTTTTCGCATTAGGTTGATCTGATTTTCTTTGTCCAGACTCATTCTGAGGCAGATGCTGCTTTGTACTTTTCCAGGTTGTGAGTGCAGCTGCTTGTGTTTGTTCCAGAAGAGAACAAGACATTTCTAGTCTTGCTGCTTTGAATGAAGACATTTCTGAATTCTCTTCATCCCGTTCCCTGCGTTTAAAAAAAGAAAACAAAACCAGAAATTGAATCCAGTCAAGTGCTATTTTAGCAATAGTTATCCCCGCCCCGCCCCCAACATAGATGAATCGCATACTTGATTTTTATTCATAGGCCAAATCCCTATAAGCAAAAAAAACAACCCAGGCATTTTAAATCAGTACACAATTCACACATCCTCGACTGCTGTGATAGGATTGATCAGACCTGTGGCTGAAACCACGTGGATCCCTATTTTCTCTGCTGAAACAGCATTCGTTGACAAGCTAATGTGGAGAAAATGGTAGAAAAATGAAAATATAAAGAACCCGCTGCCCGCAGACAGCAGCTACTTTATAATGTAAAGAAGTAGTGGGCAGGGAACACGTCCCCTGGGAACATCACATGATGGGCTAATGAAACAGAACACTGGCAACAGAAATAGGCAGAATTTATATGACTTTGAAAATAAGCAGAGAAGGAAGA